AGTGTTTTTGTTTTTTTATTATAGTGGATTTTTTTAAACATTTTTATTATTATAATAGTGTATTTTTTGTGTTATTAAAATATTAGTTTCTTTTAATTATAATTGGAGTGTATTTCACAGTCAGGTGACCCAGAGGGAACCAGATCCAGATCACAGTCAGGTGACCCAGAGCCAGATCACGGTCAGGTGACCCAGAACCAGATCACAGTCAGGTGACCCAGAGCCAGATCACAGTCAGGTGACCCAGAACCAGATCACAGTCAGGTGACCCAGAGCCAGATCACAATCAGGTGAGCCAGATCACAGTCAGGTGACCCAGAGCCAGATCATAGTCAGGTGACCCAGAACCAGATCACAGTCAGGTGACCCAGAGCCAGATCACAGTCAGGTGACCCAGAACCAGATCAGTCAGGTGACCCAGAGCCAGATCACAGTCAGGTGACCCAGAACCAGATCAGTCAGGTGACCCAGAGCCAGATCACAGTCAGGTGACCCAGAACCAGATCAGTCAGGTGACCCAGAGCCAGATCACAGTCAGGTGACCCAGAACCAGATCAGTCAGGTGACCCAGAGCCAGATCACAGTCAGGTGACCCAGAACCAGATCAGTCAGGTGACCCAGAGCCAGATCACAGTCAGGTGACCCAGAACCAGATCAGTCAGGTGACCCAGAGCCAGATCACAGTCAGGTGACCCAGAACCAGATCAGTCAGGTGACCCAGAGCCAGATCACAGTCAGGTGACCCAGAACCAGATCAGTCAGGTGACCCAGAGCCAGATCACAGTCAGGTGACCCAGAACCAGATCAGTCAGGTGACCCAGAGCCAGATCACAGTCAGGTGACCCAGAACCAGATCAGTCAGGTGACCCAGAGCCAGATCACAGTCAGGTGACCCAGAACCAGATCAGTCAGGTGACCCAGAGCCAGATCACAGTCAGGTGACCCAGAACCAGATCAGTCAGGTGACCCAGAGCCAGATCACAGTCAGGTGACCCAGAACCAGATCAGTCAGGTGACCCAGAGCCAGATCACAGTCAGGTGACCCAGAACCAGATCAGTCAGGTGACCCAGAGCCAGATCACAGTCAGGTGACCCAGAACCAGATCAGTCAGGTGACCCAGAGCCAGATCACAGTCAGGTGACCCAGAACCAGATCAGTCAGGTGACCCAGAGCCAGATCACAGTCAGGTGACCCAGAACCAGATCAGTCAGGTGACCCAGAGCCAGATCACAGTCAGGTGACCCAGAACCAGATCAGTCAGGTGACCCAGAGCCAGATCACAGTCAGGTGACCCAGAACCAGATCAGTCAGGTGACCCAGAGCCAGATCACAGTCAGGTGACCCAGAACCAGATCAGTCAGGTGACCCAGAGCCAGATCACAGTCAGGTGACCCAGAACCAGATCAGTCAGGTGACCCAGAGCCAGATCACAGTCAGGTGACCCAGAACCAGATCAGTCAGGTGACCCAGAGCCAGATCACAGTCAGGTGACCCAGAACCAGATCAGTCAGGTGACCCAGAGCCAGATCACAGTCAGGTGACCCAGAACCAGATCAGTCAGGTGACCCAGAGCCAGATCACAGTCAGGTGACCCAGAACCAGATCAGTCAGGTGACCCAGAGCCAGATCACAGTCAGGTGACCCAGAACCAGATCAGTCAGGTGACCCAGAGCCAGATCACAGTCAGGTGACCCAGAACCAGATCAGTCAGGTGACCCAGAGCCAGATCACAGTCAGGTGACCCAGAACCAGATCAGTCAGGTGACCCAGAGCCAGATCACAGTCAGGTGACCCAGAACCAGATCAGTCAGGTGACCCAGAGCCAGATCACAGTCAGGTGACCCAGAACCAGATCAGTCAGGTGACCCAGAGCCAGATCACAGTCAGGTGACCCAGAACCAGATCAGTCAGGTGACCCAGAGCCAGATCACAGTCAGGTGACCCAGAACCAGATCAGTCAGGTGACCCAGAGCCAGATCACAGTCAGGTGACCCAGAACCAGATCAGTCAGGTGACCCAGAGCCAGATCACAGTCAGGTGACCCAGAACCAGATCAGTCAGGTGACCCAGAGCCAGATCACAGTCAGGTGACCCAGAACCAGATCAGTCAGGTGACCCAGAGCCAGATCACAGTCAGGTGACCCAGAACCAGATCAGTCAGGTGACCCAGAGCCAGATCACAGTCAGGTGACCCAGAACCAGATCAGTCAGGTGACCCAGAGCCAGATCACAGTCAGGTGACCCAGAACCAGATCAGTCAGGTGACCCAGAGCCAGATCACAGTCAGGTGACCCAGAACCAGATCAGTCAGGTGACCCAGAGCCAGATCACAGTCAGGTGACCCAGAACCAGATCAGTCAGGTGACCCAGAGCCAGATCACAGTCAGGTGACCCAGAACCAGATCAGTCAGGTGACCCAGAGCCAGATCACAGTCAGGTGACCCAGAACCAGATCAGTCAGGTGACCCAGAGCCAGATCACAGTCAGGTGACCCAGAACCAGATCAGTCAGGTGACCCAGAGCCAGATCACAGTCAGGTGACCCAGAACCAGATCAGTCAGGTGACCCAGAGCCAGATCACAGTCAGGTGACCCAGAACCAGATCAGTCAGGTGACCCAGAGCCAGATCACAGTCAGGTGACCCAGAACCAGATCAGTCAGGTGACCCAGAGCCAGATCACAGTCAGGTGACCCAGAACCAGATCAGTCAGGTGACCCAGAGCCAGATCACAGTCAGGTGACCCAGAACCAGATCAGTCAGGTGACCCAGAGCCAGATCACAGTCAGGTGACCCAGAACCAGATCAGTCAGGTGACCCAGAGCCAGATCACAGTCAGGTGACCCAGAACCAGATCAGTCAGGTGACCCAGAGCCAGATCACAGTCAGGTGACCCAGAACCAGATCAGTCAGGTGACCCAGAGCCAGATCACAGTCAGGTGACCCAGAACCAGATCAGTCAGGTGACCCAGAGCCAGATCACAGTCAGGTGACCCAGAACCAGATCAGTCAGGTGACCCAGAGCCAGATCACAGTCAGGTGACCCAGAACCAGATCAGTCAGGTGACCCAGAGCCAGATCACAGTCAGGTGACCCAGAACCAGATCAGTCAGGTGACCCAGAGCCAGATCACAGTCAGGTGACCCAGAACCAGATCAGTCAGGTGACCCAGAGCCAGATCACAGTCAGGTGACCCAGAACCAGATCAGTCAGGTGACCCAGAGCCAGATCACAGTCAGGTGACCCAGAACCAGATCAGTCAGGTGACCCAGAGCCAGATCACAGTCAGGTGACCCAGAACCAGATCAGTCAGGTGACCCAGAGCCAGATCACAGTCAGGTGACCCAGAACCAGATCAGTCAGGTGACCCAGAGCCAGATCACAGTCAGGTGACCCAGAACCAGATCAGTCAGGTGACCCAGAGCCAGATCACAGTCAGGTGACCCAGAACCAGATCAGTCAGGTGACCCAGAGCCAGATCACAGTCAGGTGACCCAGAACCAGATCAGTCAGGTGACCCAGAGCCAGATCACAGTCAGGTGACCCAGAACCAGATCAGTCAGGTGACCCAGAGCCAGATCACAGTCAGGTGACCCAGAACCAGATCAGTCAGGTGACCCAGAGCCAGATCACAGTCAGGTGACCCAGAACCAGATCAGTCAGGTGACCCAGAGCCAGATCACAGTCAGGTGACCCAGAACCAGATCAGTCAGGTGACCCAGAGCCAGATCACAGTCAGGTGACCCAGAACCAGATCAGTCAGGTGACCCAGAGCCAGATCACAGTCAGGTGACCCAGAACCAGATCAGTCAGGTGACCCAGAGCCAGATCACAGTCAGGTGACCCAGAACCAGATCAGTCAGGTGACCCAGAGCCAGATCACAGTCAGGTGACCCAGAACCAGATCAGTCAGGTGACCCAGAGCCAGATCACAGTCAGGTGACCCAGAACCAGATCAGTCAGGTGACCCAGAGCCAGATCACAGTCAGGTGACCCAGAACCAGATCAGTCAGGTGACCCAGAGCCAGATCACAGTCAGGTGACCCAGAACCAGATCAGTCAGGTGACCCAGAGCCAGATCACAGTCAGGTGACCCAGAACCAGATCAGTCAGGTGACCCAGAGCCAGATCACAGTCAGGTGACCCAGAACCAGATCAGTCAGGTGACCCAGAGCCAGATCACAGTCAGGTGACCCAGAACCAGATCAGTCAGGTGACCCAGAGCCAGATCACAGTCAGGTGACCCAGAACCAGATCAGTCAGGTGACCCAGAGCCAGATCACAGTCAGGTGACCCAGAACCAGATCAGTCAGGTGACCCAGAGCCAGATCACAGTCAGGTGACCCAGAACCAGATCAGTCAGGTGACCCAGAGCCAGATCACAGTCAGGTGACCCAGAACCAGATCAGTCAGGTGACCCAGAGCCAGATCACAGTCAGGTGACCCAGAACCAGATCAGTCAGGTGACCCAGAGCCAGATCACAGTCAGGTGACCCAGAACCAGATCAGTCAGGTGACCCAGAGCCAGATCACAGTCAGGTGACCCAGAACCAGATCAGTCAGGTGACCCAGAGCCAGATCACAGTCAGGTGACCCAGAACCAGATCAGTCAGGTGACCCAGAGCCAGATCACAGTCAGGTGACCCAGAACCAGATCAGTCAGGTGACCCAGAGCCAGATCACAGTCAGGTGACCCAGAACCAGATCAGTCAGGTGACCCAGAGCCAGATCACAGTCAGGTGACCCAGAACCAGATCAGTCAGGTGACCCAGAGCCAGATCACAGTCAGGTGACCCAGAACCAGATCAGTCAGGTGACCCAGAGCCAGATCACAGTCAGGTGACCCAGAACCAGATCAGTCAGGTGACCCAGAGCCAGATCACAGTCAGGTGACCCAGAACCAGATCAGTCAGGTGACCCAGAGCCAGATCACAGTCAGGTGACCCAGAGCCAGATCATAGTCAGGTGACCCAGAACCAGATCACAGTCAGGTGACCCAGATCACAGTCACGTGACCCACATCCTGCTCGCTCCTCTTTTGCACTGCAGATGATGATCGCTGAGGCCTCGCAGTCCGGCGGCGGCGGGCTCGGAGGTGATCTGTCCTCATTATGTTCTCTTGGCCTCCGCGTGACCCGTCCTGTGCTCTTCTCTTGCAGAATACCAGCTGACCAGCGCAGACTTATCCTCCCTTCCTACGTTCAGCTCTCCGGGCGGGTTGTCGCTGTGCAACGTGTCCGCCTGGCAACAGCAGCAGCAGCACCAACAGCAGCAACAGCACCAACAGCACCACCAAGCGCAGCAGCTGATTTTTTTACTGTTATGACATGTTTCAGTTTTTTTTTTTGTACATGTTGCTGAACCCTCAGCTCTCTCCAACACTGCCACCTACTGGTGGGATCCGGTACTGCAGCGTGTACAACAATGATACATTCCTGCTCGGGTCATGCATTGTGCAGCGATATGAGTGTTCCGCTGCAGAAGTCACGTGGTAGCTCTTTCTCCTGCAGAGTCGGCTACGTTTTTGTTGCCCTCCATTGGACTTCTCCAGGTGCCTATAAAAATGAAATCAAACCTTTTGTCATTCGAGGGGCCCGTTCACACCCCTGCGCTACGGTAACCAAATTGCCCAACGCACCCGGTGACGCACTACCGCGCAGTGCAATGTACCGTACCAGCAAAAAAAAAAAAATGCAGCGGGGTCCATTTTTTTGCAATGCATGTTAACATCGGCGCGTAAAACATACCATTAACAGACCCGCCCGGGGTGAACGGGCCCTTAAACTCGGCATTAGGAAGATCTGGGTGCTGCTAGATTTTCGGTATCCCCCGGAGGCTCTCGCCGATAATCTAAGAATTTCACAACGTGTGTACACGGGGGGCCCCTAGACCTGGAACCTCATGTAAAATAATTGAGGGCCCGCGTGTGGCCATTTCCCCTTGAATAGGTCAGAACATGTCTGTCAGGGTGTAAGGGCCCCCGAGACTTTCCATTGCGAGGAGACTGGGTGCAGGCGGCGGGTCACTGGTTGCGTGGAAGATAACCATTTCCACCGCAGTTCCTCTGTTTGCATAAATGAATGGTCTGGAGACAGGGTCTTTTTAAGCACATGGCTTACACCTTTAAGTTGAGCAGTAATATTCGGCATGCCGTGGTACAGAAGCCTCGGCGCGGTTGCTATGGAGGCGTTCATATATTAAACGTATCTGAATGTTGCTGTAAAGTCCGGGCCAGGGGAACGTTCCGCGGCAGGACGCTGGGGAACAATTATGTCGCCTCCATTGTGCGCTGCGACCGGCAAACACATATTTAGCTCTGTTGGGCTCGCACAGCCACTTCGGACCATTGCTGGAAGTTGCCTGGCAACCGTCCGCATTAAAGTCCCCCGGCCACTCTCCGATTGTCGGCAGACGGGGATCAGTGGTGAAGGTGGCGCCCAGCGGGTGGTGCGGACATAGCGCCGGAGGGTGACCGGGTTATAGAGAACACTGTTAAAGGAACAGGCGCCTCAATTTATTTCTAACCATTTTGTATTTTTTTTCTCCCCTCCTGCACTTGTTTCCTCGTCCTCCTCTCTCCCCGTCCTCCTCTATCCTCGTCCTCCTTTCTCCTCGTCCTCCTTCGTCCTCCTCCCCCCTCGTCCTCCTTCCCCTTCGTCCTCCTCCCCCCTCGTCCTCCTCTATCCTCTCTCCTCCTCCTCCTTTCTCCTCGTCCTCCTCTCTCCTCGTCCTCCTCTCTCCTCGTCCTCCTTTCTCCTCGTCCTCCTCTCTCCCCGTCCTCCTCTATCCTCGTCCTCCTTTCTCCTCGTCCTCCTCTCTCCCCGTCCTCCTCTCTCCTCGTCCTCCTTTCTCCTC